GAATTTTTATGAGAAGTTTATGGTCCGAGAATGGATGAAATGGCTATATAACATTATGAAAAGAAAAGAAAATACATAACGTATGGTCGTTATATTATTATGCAGTGTATTCTCTTGGAATATAACATATGTGCCTACTACAATAATTATTTATGTCAACATCTTTGTCAGTGGCGCAACTAATGGAGGCGGATTAGCACCCACACCTCCTCAAAAAAAAAAAATGAGTATTAAATAGTTTTTTGTTTGTTGTTATTCTCATGTTACAGATAAAGGCAATAATATATTAGTAATTAATGTTAATGAAAAGATAATATAGTAATGATGAGTGTATATCGTTTCGGTAGACAAATTTTCTAAATATGACTGCCGATAGTGCGACTAACAGTAAAAAAAATAACGCACCTTTGTTAAACCAATACATTCACTCCATTAAATTGAATATAAAATGTCTGATATGTATGTGTGAGGTGTGGGGGGTTGAACCTCACAGGTAAAATTTTAAACTATAATAGTCATGGTGAGGCCTCCCCAGAATATTAATCCTATATGCGCGCCTATGATTGATGGGGAACCAAATAGTGGCGTATTTTGAAGTTCGTCTCACTTGAGCAACTATAATATTATCTTAACACAACTAATGATAAGGTCGGACGAGGGGTCCCCCTCCAACATCAATAAGCTTCTAGAATTTTATTTCACAACTGTTAAATATTCATTTTTATTTTATTAAATGCAATTTGACAGTTTATTGTTATGGACACATCTTTTAAATACATAAGAAAAAAATAAGGCCCAACTCAAATCGCCCTCCCCCCTCGAATGCGTCATTGCGATTTCCTTTGCAATAATAATATAATATAATTTGGGCGACTTTGTACATATACGCGATGGAAATCGTAAACAACGAGTTCGAAAATATTTAAATATACGTTCTGCAGGCGGCGTAGTGTTGGGCAAATTAATTATATTAGCTGCGTATATGTATTGTACGTCGTATGCACGCTGTACAACAGATATTTCTTAATTTAGATTTGTGTTTGTGTTATTATTTTATTTCACGGTTTATTTAATACTCGTGACGACGAGTGATGTAGGCCATATAGACGGTGTCGAATACAAAGAGGACCAAGACAAAACAATAAAACACGTGTCCGAGTGTAAAAGAATAACAAAAACCCTGCGATACGTCTTTCAGGGGCGTTAAGAAGGAATATATTGATTGAATAATATTATGGTTTTGCAGCGTTTTGTATCGTATATGCTGAGAAAATCAGGTACGCCGCTTATTTATCGTACCTACAACCAATAGAGAGAAAGCGTCGAAAGTCGAATCCAATTGCGACGGTTAATCTATACTGAATATATATATGATATTATCCTATCGTATTTGTAATTACACAGAACTTAGGTTTGGGCAGTGTAGACTGTAGGCTGTACGACAATATACCTGGGTATAATATTGTTTCGTTTGCTTCGTCTCGATGCGACCACATATAGAAAAGAGTTCCTATATTATACGTGCAGATAATATATTACGTATAATATTAACTAGGTACACAAGTCAGTCGACAACCGTATTTCAGACAGTATCGGAAGCCAAAACAACAAGTTTTGTGACACTACCATATTATAATGATATAATACATTTATAATATTATACGTACAAACGAGAGCCTCGAAACTGACGATAAAAACATTGAAAATAATTAGTATCGTGCAGTTATTTTTTTCTAGGTAAATTTCTGTTTGTAAAAAAAAAAGGTTGTATAGGTATACAATATTTTATAATGTTGTATTATACATAATATAGTTTGAGGTCATTATAATGATTTTATGCGATACATTTTTCAAGAAAAAAATGACTAGGTACTTACCTAAATATTTATTATCGTCTTATAACTTTTTATTCAACTCCAATCACTTAAACTTGAGCTTACTGGATAGATATTAATTGTATGGATATTCGATTTTTGTACTTCGAAATTAAAAATGTAGGTATGTCATAAATTAAATTTAAAAAAAAGTAGGTATGACCTACTAGATTAATATATTTTTTTCAAACATTTTATGTTTGAATGACTTTAAAAGTTAAGACATGATATTGTTAATATAAAGTAATGACTAATGACATACCATTTTACCGAAAAAATGACTGTATAATATTATATTATGATGAAAAATAATCATTATTTCCATACCATGAACCATAGATAATAAAAGAATGGATGCTACATTTTTTGTGGTTGAATTTTGAATAATTGAGAGGTGAGTGATCGTGGCCACAGTGTGGTTTTATTGATAATTCAATTTATTTAATTATTCAACAGAGTTTTCCACCATTCCGCCAGGGGCGGACTGGCTCCTTTAGAGCGGCCCGGGAATTTTTTTTCAAGCGGCCCATCGCCCATAAACCATTGTCTAAGGTCTTTTTTTGTAACATCGATGGCGTTGCCTGCCGGAACTACTTAAGCATTATATTGACATATTGTCTAAGGCCTAATCTAATACACTATTTCAGCACTTACGTTTGAAATACCAGACATTTTCTCAGTTGAATATTTAAATTATAATTAATACTAACAGAAGATAAATAAAACATTTTAGAAATTTGATGGACATCAATACCCTATTACCCTATTTGCTATCAATAGGTATATTTCTTTTATATTATTAATCGGTAATCGTCAACCAGTACAGAAGTATATTTTCCTTCTGTGGCGTACAAACACTAAAAAGCTACATAGGTACCATAATTCTTTTTACTTTTTATAGTGTTAAATAAAACCATATTGAATATTTACTATTTATAATGTTTAGTTATCCATAATTTTAAATAAAACACTTAAGAGTAAAAAATATTTGAAATTTTCTATATAAACTTTAAAGTTTTTCTCTTTTTATTACTGAAGAACCTCAATATATAATATAACTCAATAGTAATTTATCATGTAAATAAAATTATATTTTATATTATAGTTATAATATAAAATATATAAATTATAATTGAATAACATAAATAACAAAAGGTAAAGTTAAATTATTATTTGTTAATAATAATCTAAAAATATTACGTTTGGATGCAGAGCCTTGGTTTTTATCGGCATTTTTATTCAAATACTATAGAAAAATATAAAATATGTGGTCTTAGGGAACCGTAACAATATGAATTAAGAATAATTCAACTTAAAAACGACAAAACAACAACACACGGTGGGATTCAAAATTCAAATAGCTAATAGGGGATAGCCGGATAGGCCTCTAAAACTAATAATTCTATTATATTTTAAACCATTTAACCAATTTTTAATAATAATTGAATATAGATTAAAATGTATAGGCCTCATAACAATAACTTTACTTTCTTTACAATAAATTATAATAATATATTATTTAAAAATTGATTTGACTTACCTTTAAAAAGCTGAGGTTATGATCATAAACATAGGCGTGCGCAGCCTCCGGTTTCAGGGGCAGCAAAAGATTAATTCGGCCCATTTTTCAAATTCACCATTAAAACCAGCCCATAGTTTTACTTTTTTTACTATTGGATATCAAAATTAAAATTGTATTGGTTATTTGTTTTTTTTGAATAAAAGGTTGTATAGTAAGGTACTAAGCCACTATAGGTGTACTTTTCTACAAGCCTATATAAAATATTCATATATAGTTTATCAAAACAAAAAAAAATTTTTGTGCAAATATAATTTTACCGAGGCCCACTATTTAATATTTGCCGGCCCCGGTGGCCCCAAAGAAAGTCCAGGGGCAGCATATGCTGCCTCTGCTGCCCCCGTGCGCACGCCTATGATCGTAAACATTGCTTCGAAAGTAATCCTTCCACTTGACAATACAAAATACAAATGAACTAATAACTAATAAGTAATATTTATATTTTATATAATATCACAGACGACAGTGTTGTTAGTCCCGGACGAAAACAGTATATTTTTAAATTATATAACAACTAACAACAATAATACATCGAATTAATAATATATCGTTATCGTATATTATAAACAACATGGGTACGGCGCGCGGCGGCCGGTAGGCGGCAGCGTAATTTCTATTTATATAAATACCTTATGTTTCGTATGTTTCTTAGAAAAGCAAAATTATATTAAGGTATGAACGTATTATTTATGTTATATTCTATAGATTTAAAATTTACCAAAAACTGATAAACTCTTATTATAATCTAAAAATTGTAATAAGTTACTTGTACAACCAAATTGTCCGGCCCCATAATTCGATTATTCGACCGGCCCATCGGGAAATTTCCCGATCTCCCGATCTGCCAGTCCGCCCCTGCATTCCGCCCTACTATTGCCTAATATGTATTTACTATTTAGTATCTACGATGGACATGTCTTCTATCCATTGTCTTATTATTATTGTTTATAATATTATGCTCTTAACATTACTGTCGTATATTATGCGTTTTGCGTGTAATATATAATTTAAAATGGTTAACGTGAAAAAATACGAACAGTTATTTTAGTTTTTAAATACGTATACTTTATTCATTATAAAAACAAACCGATATAAAATAATACTAATAACAATAAAAATGATTAACAATGCAAGTGATTAGAAATGCACATATTATATATAGGTACACACACCACGCGTAGTTCGAGTACACACGCGTACCCGTATTTATATTATAATAAAGTATAAAAATATAATAAATTGTATGATTTTTTTTTTTTTTTTAGTAAAACAAGAGTCTACGCGTGCGGTCGGGGGAGGGGGGTAATGGAATTAACGTATATAAAAATATACTAATAATCGTACTTTAATATTAATATGTATATATTATAATGACCGGGCGACGACGATGGCAATACGCCAACGCTATTATGATAACATATTATTATTAATATTATGCTCGTAACAATAATAATATTATGTTTTCATCGCCGCCGTCGGTTTCGCCGCGCACCGGAAGTAGGATGATGATGGCTCAGCGGCGGCGGCGGAGGGTTTCGGCTGCTTCCTCAGAAGTCGAACGCGTCGTTGCTGGGCTTCCTGTAGCCCGTGTTTCCGCTGTCGGACCGGCTGACCACCGCGTTGAAACCCGTTTCCGGTCCGGCGGTGTACTCGACCAGCCTCATGGCACCATCGGGTTCCAGAACGCTGTACGCTCCCTTGACCACGTCACCTTCGCGAGCCTCCCATTGGCTCTTCACGTCGTACGTTTCCGGGTCGTGGACGGCGTAATCGAACTTGTACGCTTTGGGAGCCTGTGGTACAAACAAACACACGCGAGTGTCGTCGTGGGTTTTAGTCATCGTCGTGACATTACAAGCAACAAGGAAAACTTTTCGACGGTCAGATATAATAAACTACTATGGGTAGGTTGATGGCAAGGAGCCGATTTTTGTGTGACGACGGTCTTTCGCCGTTTTTCATCGGTTTACATATTAATATTATCGTAGTGAAAAATTGAAAATCGGCGAAAAACCAGAGTCATTTTTTTATGTTGTCAGAGTGATGGTCGGCGAGCGAGGAGGATGCGAATGTGTGCATTCTATAGTTTATTGTATCGTGGGCATGCTAGTGGTGCCCAAATCAGCTGGTGGACCTTTGAGATCATACCATGTTTACATCGAGGTCATTGACATCATAGCGATTATTACAGATTATATTATTATTATTTATCACATTATATACGTATCGGGGGGACCCATTACGGCAGACGGCGGCGGTGTTGGTGGAGGAACCGGACAAAGATACCTTTCGGCTATTGCCATATTTTACCTATAGGTACTCGCACCGCTATCGCTATGGTAACGTAATCGTAAACGGTCGGTGATGACATGTGGGTGTTTACTGGACCGTTCAGGATAGTGATAACGGTGATTACAATGAAAGAAACGAAAGGAGATAGCGCGCTTACAGTATATTATAATATATACCGCGTGTATTGTATTCGAGACGGTTACGGCCGGTATTCACGGTTACAATGAATTATTATTGTTATTATTTTGCTCCGATATTATTATTGTTATTACCTCCGCGCAACAGTAGTTATATTATTCGCCGACATAGGTTTATAACGCGTGTTGCTTAACCACTGCAGCACTTTACCGGCTGTTCCGGTCCGTTAGGAACACTGCGCACCTATTTACACGTTATCGCGTGTGACATTGTCGTTGTCGTTGTTATTTACTCGGCTGGGCGATCGTGTAATGTGATTTTTAGTCGATTTAACCGAAAACGAGCTGTCGTACGGGTAACGGCCGTGTGTAACCGATACGTTTGGTACCCACCCACCATAACGATAAGACGGAATGTCGAGAGAAAAAATTGTATTGTGTTCCGTGTACGTCATAACAAATGTCGCATCCAACAAACGAAATCGGTTATCGCTAGAGACAAATGATTGCAAACCGAGAGTACGCGTATAAAAGGGTTATTGGTAGAAAAAAAGTCGACGATGACTAGAAAGTTTATAGCCTTTGTTGAGCATTACAACTGCCGGTGGAGGATTATTATATTAGAGAATAGTCGTTTGGGCATCTTGCGGAAAACATAATAACTGTGACTGTTTTCATCAGCGATGGCTGTTTTGGGTGGGGAAACGAGTACGGATTCAAGTAGAATTTTTTCAAATATGACCACACTAACCACTACTCTCCTGCAGTAGCCGCTAATGACGTATGCCTATACCTATGTATTAACGAGCGGACGGGATCGCGTTTCGAACGATAATTACAATTAAAATCGTATTGACGTCTAAATACTCACGTAATTTTCCGCAGACTCTGAGCTCTGGGACCTGGGTCCTCCTTCGACGAAAATCGGTATGGCCATGGTGCACGCCGTCATCACGCTGAGTGCAGCAAACACCTGGAAAACACGGTTGCGGGTACACAACGGCATCAGTATATAAACACGACGCATAAAAAAAACGGAGGGAAGACGATAAGAGACCAAAAAAACATTGTTATACATAACCGTGGATCAGTACTTGGTACTCAAAAATGCGTTGATCACTTAAAAATATGGAAATCTTTAAATGGATAATATTATATATTATACTCCATGTTATTACATATACCTATAGGTATAGTATATAAAATAGAGAGGGTCTCTCTACTATAAGAGTTTTATCAGATTGTTGAATATGATTTTAAAATGATTTTCTGTTGAATTGATAACAGTGGAGAAAACGGAAAATACATTTTCTAGTAAGAATTTAAAGAAATGCGTATGTTTTATCAAGAGTAAATATAGTTTTTTTAACAAATTTCTAATATCTAAATAGAATTTAAAAATCGCATCGAAAAAATAAAGATGTTAATTTGATGAGTATATTTAAGCATTCGATTTATTTTATGAACTATTTAAAATATTCTAAAAGTTCTACCATAGCAATAAGACAAATAACAAATCTTTAAATATGGATGAATAGAAAACCAAACCAAAAATAAACCGAAAATTTTTAAGTTTGAAACACAGACATGAATAAAAATGCGCCGCGTGTCTCCATGATCCCGAGCCCTGACATAAAAAATCACTACAAAAGTGTACTTACTTGACACGACCTCATGGTGTAGTTGCGATGATGTGATGTTACGACGATGGGTTTCGCTGTTGTGTGCTGTTGCCGCAGTGAAACGTGTATAGTAAAATGCGTTATTATAATATATGCGATATATTACGATTAATGTGATTTATCGTTTTTTTGGTTTTTTCTTTTTTAAATATAATAGTAGTCGAAACCCGAACTATCGAACACTGATATCATACGAGTCCCGGGCCTGGGATTTTATACATTTTTCGAACGTCCCCCACGTCGTTGCCGCCACGCGTAGGTCTATACCTCCACCGCCGGACATTTCCCGAACACGTTTTCCCGAATTGGACACGCGACACCGACGACGTAATCCGCCGCCACTGGAAACGGGGAGACGGTGGCGGCGGCGGCCGGGTACACGAATGCCAAGGTCGGCGTGTGAGCGGTTTTCACGTTTTCTCGCCGAAGATGTGGGTCAACGCGCCCGCCGTGGCTGCAGTTGCGCCAGTAAAAATCTATACATTATAATATGGTAGATATTGTGTACACGCGGATCCACTTCACATAGGACCGTAGGGGATGGAAGAGAGAACCTCAGGTACTATTTCGAAGATACCTCGCTCGTTTAATGTATAGTACACTATGCACAAGGTGATTCACCAAGCATGCTCACCTACTATATTTTTTTTTCAATTATTATACCATTTTTACTGATTATTAATATCGATGGATCAATATTAATGACTAAAATTACGTTTTCAAATCATCATAACCCTCATATTTTATCAACATTTTCAGAAAAATTATCCGCTGTATGATTTGCAGTTGAAAAGGGGTGCTCACATTTGAAAAACAGAAGATTTTATCTCCACAGGGCACTCCTTGAGTATTACAAAAAAATTGGTCTTAAAGTCTATTTTAAAATTCCAAAAATAAGATTTAATATAACTGCATTATTGAAGAAAAAAGGGGTAAGCATTTACTTGATGAATCACCTTGTACAGTCAATTCATTATAATGTAATAATATAGAGGACGTGTAATACTTCTGTCTTCAACAATTGTAATTGTATATTGATAATCCATTGTGATTGATAATATGCTTACGAATTATCATTGATTATATTTTTTAAATTACTAGGGTTTAATTTAGATTCTTATGATAGAGAGGAAGACTTATAGGTGATATTATTTGGTGCATATTTTGTGACTAGTCTCCACCCTTTTTTTACCGTATAGTTTATTACCAAAAACAAAAAACAATATGATATCTGGTCCGTGGAATATGTGTAGTGTCTACATTAGTATATTATACGACCGATAATGTCCAACCGTTCCCGTATTATATTATATTTTAATACGAACGCGGATGTCATCACGATTAATATCGAAAATATGGAAACTTAAAATAATATTAAACAATTTAATTATTTAGAAACAGTGTTGTGGTTTGTGCGTTAAACGACTTCCAATGGGTCGTACGATATGTGTACTCTTGTGTCTTCTGCAAGTACACAACATATATAGCTGAACCAACTGAAACCTAACCAATATTATTATATAGTACATTTTCTGGGATGTTTTATTTTCGGAAAGATTTGTTTACCTGCAGATTTTTTTTCATCAATCATTAATTATTGTTCGTGTATACATTTCATTTTGTCCTCAGGTATTTTTTTAATGCGTCTCGCGATCGGGTTTTTTCTTTATTTGCACCGTCATCTGCAGTGCAAAGATCATAACCATTATATTATTATTTGTTCTGGTGCACGCTGCGAGCCCATTTCCTATACAAATAATACCACCGAGTAAATGGTTCGCTGACAACGCAATAATAAAATCACTCCGTTCGATTAATGTCTTTTTTAATGGGTGTAGTAAAATGATACTCGGCATTCTCGAGTGTTGAAAACCGCATATAATATTATGCAAAAAAAACCGTTTTTAACAGGGTTCAGTCTAATCGATTTATTCAATTTATTTACATTTTAATTGTTTACATTTAATAATCACGGCGAGTTGCAGTTGCAGTTTTCAATGATTTTTTCGAATACTTCTTAGAAATTTGCGCTTCTCTTGTAAAACATAATACTACGAAACCGTAAAACCACATTAAATGCAACAATACTTTTTATCATTACTCCTATTATAGTGTTATAAATGGCGTGGATACTAAATACTAAGCGTATATATGTACTTGAGTGTAAACATAACAACTGACATCGTTATTTAAAGCAATTTAATTTTTATTTTCGATTATTATTTATCATTGTAGACCAATTCACTAAAAACGCACTCATATATGTATATGATGGTATGTAACATATTTTATGCTAAAAGCTAAAAAACGAAATAATAATATATGTAAACCAAATACCTATTACGATATTGAAAATGACCAGAATACTGAACCGAGACAAAAGTCGGTGCATACGGTTATGACAATAATATTATGTCGTATTGTTATAACCATTTTACTGCGTGCGGCTAGACGTATAGGCATATCAGACAATATAACACCGCTGCAGCAGTTTAGTTATGCAACTTTGACGGTTCTCAAACTATATGGGTAATATTTAATATATAATATAATAATCGATCCTATCATTTTTCCCAACGACCGTTGTAAAAAAAGAAAGTAAATTGGCGACTTATTTGGTGCCCACCTATACCAAACCTATATATATATATTGTTACATTTTTGCCCACCTGTTAACTGCTCTGTTAACAACAGGGGGGGAGGCGTTTCCTCATACTCTCCAACTATAAAATATCTGCTTCTGTGCGGCATCGATATAAAATAATATTATAAAATTATCATTCTCCATACGCGCAAGCGCGGATCCGTGGAGTTTTTCATTGTGGCGAGAAATTTGTTGCCGTTGTTGTACCTACGTATTATAATATTATATATATGCGTACCGGCCGGTCGTTTGTTACGCGATTTAAATTTTTTTTATTATGTTCGTACAAATTTTTCTTTTCCGCGATGAAAATTGTTTCACGCGATAATGTTGTAAAAAGACACACATTCCATTGTGCCAGCGTGCATATAGGTACTCGCGGGTACACCTTTATAATATTATTATTATTATTATTCCGATAAAAGGTTTTTAATACACTTTGCCAACGCACTCGCTCATTTTCCGTTATTGTTGTCGATTCGGCGCCGATTATAATGTGCGCGGCCATAATTAAAATTCACTCGTCAATGATAATATGTTCTGCACGTTTGATCGTAGTTGTACACGTACGACACAAACTAGTATACAAGTGAACGCGCAATCGACTTTCTTTGTAAGCGATCGTTTCTCGAAAGCCATTAATTACTGCTTTCAAATTAAACTGCCAACCGCCACTGCAATTATATTTTCCACGCCGCAGTCGCCACTTTTGATCTACCTATTCTATTTGTGCCATTAATAACAATATAATATTATATAGTATGCGTCGTATTATTATGTCTAGCGCAAATTCATACGCACAATATAATAATGTAACTTTGATATTATATTGTTTTTAAAATATTACACATACATATTATATACCTATATAGGTACGCGCTTTATCCACCACTCGTAGCTTAAAACATTATATTATTTCGAAGAACAAAAACGATATTTTAAAGGGACATTTTCTATATTATCGTCTATAACATCAGTTTATTTATAACATTATAGTATAATATTGTGTATAATACGATTACAATAAAAGCAAATATACAAAATAACGGTGAAAGTGCTTGAGGGGAAGTCACACGGTTGTCTATATTGACTGAATATTGTCCAGATCAATGACCAAATTGTCAAAAGCGTCTCGCTCGGTTTGAAAAAATAAATAAGAATAAACTGTGTTTTTCTATAGTAGATTGCACCATTTTAGTTTTAACAGTCTTTTGGCTGGTGGTCCATGAGTGATCTTGATGACAATGTATTGATGAGGTTTTTTGAAACTGCAGATGATAGATTAAAATTCTTTTCATGGTGAAGATGTGAGTTAAGTATTTTTCACTTGGATAAGTGATGGAGCTATATATTGGTATAGATGCAGAACATTTGGAGGGGTCCTATTACTCTATTATTCATAAGCTTTATTACCTATACAGTATACACGAATAAATTATAACTTCTTCAGTGTGAGTTTTGAGGGTGGAGGTGGGGGAATAATTTTATATCTGGAAGAGCTCAGCACCCCCAATGTTCACGTTTTTTTGTAAAGTCCTGCCACATGTTAATTTATTGTTCGTTGTGAATATTAAGCCTAAGATTTCATGCGAGGTATCCAAAAATTAAATATTTTATAAAAACCTATCAAACAATAAAGTCAATACCTATAGTCAATATTTATAGAAAAGTTCAGCTGACGTCTGAGACTAAAATGGGGTAGAGCGTATTGAAAGAATTGTTTCTTAAATTTGACATCGGTGATTTTGCGGTGAATTATATAATTATTCTGCAGATGATAACAACACTTGAAATATCTGGAGCGACCGTTTCGGTAATCGGGGACAATAATATTATATTCTAATATTATTCCATAAGCTACATCGTTACATAATACTGTGAATATATTATTTGTGAGTGCGCCATATAAAACATGTAGGTGTAGGAACTCTGGTACTCGTATAATAGTTTATAGGGGAAAACTTTAAAAAAAAAAAAAAATTGGGATCGACGTACAAAATCCGCAGACGCATAAGTATACTACCACGGTCCGATGCTTATATGCTCTGTGATTACTGTGTAATTTTATTTGTTCTGGTGTGTGCGGGAAGGCCAAGAACTGACGTTGTACGAACGACGGTGAAAAATCGTATACGAATGAATATTACGCGTAGGATACAACTGGACAACGTGCCGACCACGACTGGCAGACCTGAACGTGCCAATTTTTCGTATACTTTTTTATTAACATTATTTTTATATATCGCATGTGCGCGATAGTATAATATCATAATATGGAATATGATATTAAAAGCGTTATTTATATTTTTTTTCGAAAAGTACCTACGATAAGTTATAGCCTGCACGGACT